ACCAGACCCCCCCCCCCACTTAGAGACATCTAGATACTCCCTGACCTACATGATAGGATGAATGAAAATACTCAATCGATATGCCACCAAATCGTTAACCAGCCTTCACCATGCCCTCACGATTTTTTACTGAGGGCTTAATTGGTAAAAATCGCACACAAATCATACGACGTCACTGACAACGCCGGGGACGGCAACTCGATATTGATATTAATTTTCCGATTAAAGTTATACTAAATAACTTCTAATGACGAACTCTTCAGTTGTCTTTGTTGGACATTCAACTGTCATTTTATCTATTTTTTCGGTAATATTACCATTCTCAATGATCTATAAAACACCTACCGTACCTAACAACGTCACGTTAGATCGATCGGTGTGGACGCCGTGGTGACGCCGGTAGGGTTAATTTTCGTCGGAAAGTATCAAGTTGATAAACAGTTTCATTGGACTAAATTCTTGATTATGTTAACCACTTGCTTACCTAAGATTATACTGACACTGGTTTCAAATGAAATAACTGACAACTTTGGTTTGTATTAATGTTTTAATAAGTACATAAAACTATGTCACAAATACGTATGCAAAAATGCACAGGGACTACAAGCTGTTTTTGTATTTTTCTTGAAATCTGTATGCCTGATCACCATCATCATACAGAGTATAATAGATTCAAGTAAGATGTTTCAAATAATATAAAAATGTATGCAAACATGCCTTTGGAACAGTTTTTTTTTTCGAGTTTTATTTACCTTAACGTCGACCAGGGGTTGGGAAGGATTGGCGCTGTCTCTTAATACGCCACTAATGTAAGTACAGATTCATGCTTATATTTTACACATTTATATAGCTTAAGGTGATATAAATTTAGCAATTAGTCTACACATACATTTAAGTTAATGTAAGAAGCTAGATTGTGATTATTTTAACCGTCTTGATACAAAATAATAACGTCGGTACGATGTTTTTAAAAAAAAAAAATAATAATTACAATATATATTCTCAGAATTCTCACGGAACTATAATTAGTAAATAATAGTACAATGAATTTCCACATAATTGTTGAATGCAGTAACTATAATTTTGTTACTAAATGTTCATTTGTATATTAAGTTTATACTGATGATAGGTAGGCCCTATCTGCATTGTACAATTTAGAGAAAATTCATCGTAGCTATTATTTATTATCAATACGGTCCCGGCGTCATTCCTTGAATCGGGACGGTACGGTACGTACTACTTTACCGCTTGAGTTCACGATGTACACATGACATGGGTCATATCATGTAAAGATAAATATTTGTCCCGAATAATTTTAATGTTTAAGTTATTTACTAGGTCTATAATTTTATTCTGAAAAATAATCTAAAAATCGAGTTGACGTCCCGGTGTTGTCAGTGTGATTTGCATGCGATTTTGACCAATTAACCCCCAAATAAAAAATAGTTGAGCCATGTAGTACCTAAAACTTTCATTACAATTACTACTGTTTTAGTTTATCAATATTTTCTTTTGAATGTTGTATAAAGTACTGTATTGATATTACATCTAAAGTCTGGATTTTACTTTGTATGGTAATCTTGTATAAATGTAGGTGTTATCAGAAGAATGTAGAAAACAGTCTCATACATCAATCAACGCTACAGTACCTTATTATCATTTTATTGGGTATACAGTATTTTAAGAGAAAACATAAGCCAATGGAAAATACAGCCAACAGAACATGTTATGGTTCAACTATTTTTGTAATTGCCAAAAAACGAAAGTCGGACTATGCCGAACTCTAAATTCTCTGTTTTGGTTACAGAGTCAAGCCGTTTTACCGAGAGGTCTGGGTTTTGTTTGTTTACTTTATTTCACTTTTGACACAGTCATGCGCAATTGATTACTTGAAAATTAACTGCCGCGTCGTGTGATCGTAATGAATTTATTTTCAGTACGCGGACGGGTCTCTCGCGTTGTCTAGCCTGCGCCTGATAGCATAAAATATGTGTTTGCCGCCCTCTATTTTATTTGCCGCTAGAACCAATGCGAAAATTCTATGAGTTCGTTAATTTGACATTTTTATGCCGCTGTTAAAACAGAGGCATAAATAATACCGTTCCGAATTATTCTTACGGAACCTTAAATTAGCTGGTAGAAAATTTAAAATTATTTTTAAGTTATTCTTTTTATTTAAATTTACTGTTGATTTTTTTTCTAGTCCCGGCAAGAACCTCCTCCCAAATCAAAAAAACAAAAAACAAAAAGCAAAAAACAAAACTCCATCCCAGTCGCCCCCACCCCCAATTCCCATGTCTGAGGCTAAAAATCACACTCAAGTATTTAAAAATTATCTCATATATTTGCGACCAAGTGCCCCTCACTCCACCTTTTCGCCCCCAGCCTCCTTCCCATTTCAAGACTAGAAGCGCCACTGAAAGGAGGTTGCATACAATGTTCATAATATATTCTTTTTAAATAACAAAAATATTATTATAATACGGCAATGATTTAATAACGATTATTAAATAATTATGATACATTTTTTTGTAGCCACATGAAACTAAACAATAAGGACGTACTCTAGCACTTCAAATTAGCACATATTTCTAGTAATTTACTATACTTCTTCATTATCTACAAACGTTAGGCCTGAAATAAAACTTTACCCTACCACATCACCAAATAAGAAAAAACACATAGAATGTTACAATGTTGTCTCTCACATAAACTCTGACTTTCATTTTTTTTTCAGTAAATATTAAGGGTTTTTTCCGTTTGTGTCAAGGCATAAACTTGCCCAGAGGAGCCGCGGCTGACCACGTCTATTTCTTTACGTTTTCCATTTGTGTTTTCTTTTTTTTGCGATTAATATTACGTTATCAGCTCAGACCCGCTATTTTGATTAGTGTGCCGTCATTAGTTTGGCCTGTTAATTGTCAATATTTCTTACATTTGAACATTTATTTATCAAACTACAAAATTAGCTGTTAATTATTATTAAAATTAAAATTTACAAAACAATGTGTGCAGACATCGATGGCCACGGCTGATATTAAAGCAAAGATTAAATTATGAAAAACTAGATATACACTAAAAAGTTTTAAAATACCAACCACGATTTGCAATTAGATTATTAAATAGTAAGAGCATCTCATGTCATTGGCTGCACAGTTTAAACTCTGAGCCGTGTTTAATAAGAGTCAGTCCAGAAAGCAAACCTCCCGCCCACCAGTCACCACATTTCGACGCAAATGCACCAGCGGAGTCAACATTTTGCGTTGAAAAAGCTTAATGTAACTTTGAACCAATCACCTCGCGGCTTTGTTCTCGAAAATGTGAGCCGATCTGTTCTTCAACATTTCATCGCAATTCAAAGCTATCTACCTACAAAATCACTACAAAAACAGAATAAATTAAAGCAGTGAGGGTATACGGTAATGCATCAGTAACTTACAAAACGATTTTAAGGCTCTTATGTTATACTGTTATTTTTAGTAGTAGAGAGGCCATTTTTTAGCATTGCCAAAACAAAGAGATCCACAGTTGAGTCAACACTACTTTTTGAGCCTCGGTCCTATGTGTATTGGCGAACCTGTCTTCGTTGGGAATTCTAATCCGATTGAAGCAACTGATGTTTCACACTCTTGCGCATCCGTAGTTGAACAGCGCTAACAGAGACTATTATAGAATCCACCCACACTATTAGGTTTTGAACAACAAAACGGGATCTCCGAAAAGATGCATATTAAATAAATCATGGTACAATAAAGACTTATACATTATTCTTTAACGTTTTACACATCTAGATGTGTATAAGAGACAGGTATTAAAGCAGCAGTGGCAGTAGTAGTAGCAGTGGTAGCAGCAGCAGTGGCAGTAGTAGTAGCAGTAGTAGCAGCAGTGGCAGTAGTAGCAGCAGCAGTGGCAGTAGTAGCAGCAGCAGTGGCAGTAGCAGCAGTGGCAGTAGTAGTAACAGTGGTAGCAGCAGCAGTGGCAGTAGTAGTAGCAGTGGTAGCAGCAGCAGCGGCAGTAGTAGTAGCAGTAGTAGCAGTAGTGGCAGTAGTAGTAGCAGTGGTAGTAGCAGCAGTGGCAGTAGTAGTAACAGTGGTAGCAGCAGCAGTGGCAGTAGTAGTAGACCATAATATTAATTATTATTATTATTATTATTAATTATTTATTGCTATAATAATATAGCAATGATGGATTTGTTAATATTGATGGTAATAATAGTAATGATAATACTAATAACAACAACATTAATCGTTATTATTACAGTAGGCCTATTAAATATAATTATTATTTAATTTTAATAACAATAATAACATAGTACTAATTTAAGATATCTTTATGTGTGTCCGTTCGGAAAATTAGTTGGTACATCACATCTCGAAAAAAGAGTGCAAGATTAATACAAAACAAAGAACAGAATATAATTAGGCCCTAAGACTTATTAATTAATAATAATATTAATAATAATAATAATAATTTTGACGTTGTTTTAATCAAAAATAATAATTAATTTCATATGAAGTCACAATACTTACACATAAGCCAATAGCCAATATGAAAAGAATGATTATATACTGAAAATAGAACAAAATAGTATTAAAATCACAGTACGAACATAGGCCTATACAAATAACGATCGAGTCATTAAAGGAAACGAGTTGTAGTTAATTAAGTATTATAATGATTGTTGATGGTTAATGGTGCGGTTGATGATAATAGGAATATTTCGCAACCTTACAAAAACAATAACGAATACGAATACTGTACGTCATCTTCATTATCACCATTCCTCAAACATAATCAACAATACAAATACGAGCAGTATATGATCGTTGATTGATCGTCATGGTTCGCCTACTTTGCGACAGACATGCTACAGTTCCGTATGGGAGGGATTGACTAAAAAATTGATGACGTAACCGTATCGTTTTCGTAAGCTTGCGAAACCTCAATACTAATAATGGTAAATTATTATTAATGATGATGAAGATGAGGACAATTATAGTACTAGCGATGGTGCTGCGGTAGCGGTGATTTTGATGATGATGGTGATGATAATGTAAAAAAAATTAAAAAAAATTTACTGTACACGTATGTTGTGCTGATTATGTTTAGGAGAATAAAACCATGATAATTCATAATAATGATGATGACGATGCTGTTATTAAATGTGGTGGTTGTTATGATGATGATGATGATGATGATGATAATGATGATGACGAGATGATGATAATGATGAATTACGACGATGGTGATGATGATGATTATGACAATAACGATAATAATGAAAATGATCAAATCAAACCAACTTACAACTGGCGAACCAGAAACCATAGCTTGGATCCAAGCAGATATTTGAATAACGACATACATAGACATAAGTACTACAAAAGGCATAAGTAGCATACGGGAATCCCGCCGATCCTGTAAAAAAATATTCATATACTGTGTCTGTAGACCATACCATAATTATATCATCACGTGTGTCTCGTCTTAGTGGTTACTCAAGAAATTTTGTCGATGGTGGTCCGACAGCGGTGTCCGAACCAAGGGGCCGACTATAGAGCTCTGAAGTCAGGGTCCAGAAATAACAATTCCTGTTAGGTTTTATGGAGAGAGTTTGGTATGGTTTAGAAGGGCCCAAAATTGTGCGTTTAGACCTCAATATTAGGAATTGGCAATCAAAATAACGTAATTTGGATATGTAAATTAATATTTTTGGTTCAATGCGACGGGGGAGGGTTCCCCCTTCAATGTACTTGTAGCCTACAGTACGGTAATGCAGTTTTCGTTAGTTGTCCCGGACTCTATTAAGTAGGCCTTCTGGCTAACTTAAATTCACTTCGTTATTACGGATTTAGGCCTATAAGCTTTGTTGCGATGGTCGCGCATAGCCTAAGTGATCCTTCCGGAATGTCAATCAAACGCACCAACTGACCAATGGAAACTCGTTTGCTAACACACGTGTTAACAACAATTTGTCAATATCCAAGGGGTGGGGCTATGGGGTGAGGAGGATTGGGAGCCCAAACAATAATATAATACTTACGTCTGCGATCCCTCGTATTACGAGCCCAGCTGAGATGAAAATCATAACTGAGAATACATAAGTTACGTAATACAGCCACAACATGTCCTTGTTTTCTCCTGAAAATACAAATGATAGGCTGTGCATGATTACGTCACACGACGTGCAATATGATGCGAATACGAATGACAATGTAGTGACTGCTACCCCATTGGTATTGTTGGAATATCTCTATCAGTGGCGACATCAGTGGGTGTCCAGGGGGTACCCCCATCCCCGAACCATTGATACCCTGTCGGAGACCTATAATCCCTTGTCGGGGAATTCTGGCATTACAATTGAACGGGGGAAAATCAGTGAAACTACTAATCAGCAGGGGTGGCTCCCCCTGTGCATGTAGCCATTCGGACCCCCGTCGGGTAAATCCTGGCGCCACCCGGTACCCCGGCCCTGCTTATCAGGTCTTGTGTACATTTGGGGATAACAATAATAAATACTTATTAAGGAAAACTTTTCTTGGGAGTCGTCTATGATCGCTGGCACTTTCCAAGGCAGTACGCTGTCGGAGATGTCTTGGTGTCTGAGGCGCACGGTATTATTACTATGACGTGATGATCACTGAGGCATTTCCCCTTCCTGGGGGTGCCGGCAATTGTGGGCGATCCCAAATTTAAAAATTAAAATGTTGATGTGTTTACTATGTATTCTGTGCGTGTATGTTTGGTATTCAAACTGACAAGCCACCGCTTCTTTTGATGCCTATGTAAATAATTTGCAATTTGTAATTTGTTGTGGATTTTTTCTGAATAAATGTAATTACTTCCTTCATATAAATATTATTCCAGACTACCTTATACCGTAGGCCTGTAATAGTTAAGTTTCGAGTCATAGCTAGAATACGACGACGTATGCCACGTCCTTGGTTTGCACCGCCCATAAAATCTACTTACGTCAAAGTACGTTGGAAATTTGTCCGAGGGCTTAATCAAGTTAATAATGGTGCCGCCGTACCTGAACACATATTTGAGAAACCGAATGATATTCTTCATTGATTTTCATGTTAAACGTATTGAGATTCGCGACGATAAAGTCCGCATATTGATTTCTTGAGAGGATCGCCCCCTGGGAGCATTATTAAGGTATGATGATACCTTGGAGGAGGAGAGACAACTTTCAGAAATGTATTTGTTCATACCATCATACTGCTTTGTGTTATTGTGCTGTAACATTTATGCACGTAGCCATATTCATGATCTCAACTTCAGCTTGTGCGATTAATGGGTAGGTATATTATCGGGGGGAAAATACAAAGTGAACATGACGCGTCACTCAACGACGCGACGACAAAATTGCGTCGCTATAGTCATCCTTGAGATAACATTGACAATGGACTTGAATACTGTAGCTTGTTGGTTACTACGCTTGCTTTCCAATCCAGGGTCTTGGGATTAAACCCTATCACAGCAAGGGGTATTTTATCGCGAATAAAAAAGCTAAATTAATGATGACGGTGTTATGATTATATTGTCGATGATGATTACCCGGTATGTTTTATTGATGATGATAATAATGATGATGGTGAGTATGACGCATGCTGTTGCTATGATGGTGTTGATTACAATGATTTTGATTATGACGACAATTAATCAGTAATGAATATCATTATTACCAATAAAATCATTTCATGAAAATACATACCCGTTTGTTTAGCATTTCTATGCATTTTATAATAGAATATGAAGAGCAGTGTAAAAAGTATCTGTGGATATAAAAAAATAATCAAAGATTATGACGATGATGAAGAAGCATATAGTAGAATACTATAAAAAATGACGACAAAGGATGATAATAATAATGATGTTAACGATGACGACGATGATGATAATGATGACGATGTTGCTGATGACGACGACGACGATGATGATGATGATGATGATGGTGACGACATGGTGATGATGACGACAAATGATGATGATTTTGACGACGACGACGATGAAACAATTGATTATGGTGGTAAAAATAACAAAGAATATGACGACCACAAATGATGATGGTGAAGAGGAAGAATCCAATGAAACGACGACGACGAGGATCGAGACCTTAGTGGTTGACCGTCACTATCGTCTGCTATTGATCACCTTAAGCATCACCAAAAGGCATGATGGGCAATAATTCGATTTTTCGCACAGTTCGATCGGGTAAAATAGATCACTGTATAACAATGCAGCTCTATGCGCTATTGATCATAGAGAGTGAACCACATTGATGATCATGAACTTAGATGCTAGACACTTTCCTCTTCAAGTTTATCGTGAGCGACCTTAGCATAGGTCTAGCTTTTGAGTGGATGATAAGGGCACACTACATGCTTATCATCACCATAACTATTATTATAGCCACCATCCCCATTTATCAACATCATCACCACCATCTTCACCAGACCATCATATACCACTATCATCCAGGGTCGCCTAGAGCGCCCGCGGGCCCCGGAGCTTCTTCGCTGCATGTCTGGGCCCATTGGTTAGGGGTCTTGGGACCGCCTAGGGTCCCAGCGGGATCGAGGGGCAGATCCCTAGTGCCACCCCATCCCCCCCGGATTAGAGGACTAATTAAATCAATTATAGAGTGCCTAATTTTACTAGGTAATGAAAAATATAGAACATGGAAAGTAAAACTATATCCTTCCTTTTATTCAAACGTGCTGAAAAGATTCATGACATAGTTAAGTTTTTACAGTGGCACTTGTCTCAGTTGCCCCGGCCCCTCAGCGCCACTGCTATCATTATTATCATCATCGTCGTCGCCACCACCACCACCCTCATTATCACCATGTCATAATCATCATCATCATTAGCACCATCATCATCATCACCATCATTATTAGAAGGCCTATCATTATTATAGAGCCTTATCTGAATTTGTGGTTAAAAATATTTCAGGAAAAGCGACACCTATATCTAAATGAAGGTCGTACTTAGCAAAGACGGAATCGAAGCAAATCAAATTAATTGGAATCCATTCGCCCAGCATGCGTTTTACTTAGCCATGTACTGTGTAGCATTACAAGGAGTATAAAGATATTTAATTGAGTCGCTAATGTTAGTACTACTTTTTATCCATAATAGCGAATGATATCAGTGGATTTATAACCAAAGAAAATCGTTGTTCTCGGAAAAATAATATTTTTTGACGCACACCCAAAAATGACACAAAACAAATTTAAAAATGTTGCACTACTGTTTTTAAGTTCGATTTGAAATTATAATTCTAAGAAAATAAAATTTTGACTTTATAGTTCATACATAGTCCATAATTAAAGGGGGGTGAACCTACATCCCCAGTCTACCTCCAAGTCGTTTAAGAAAGTGTGTGTTAGCCTACTGTGCGATGACGTGATAAAAAAGAATGATTACGTATATTCGTCTGTACAAAGATCATAATTATTAAGTTGACATTTAAAAGGATAACTTATATTACATAAAGTGTCGCATCTATCAGAACGTTAAGGCATAACAAATAGACCTACGATAATCTGACGTTCGAAATCCCTGGCATAAAGAAATGCAGTTTACCTGTCTGGTAAGACATGCCCAACGAAGAACTAGTGAATCAGTTACGTACTGTGACGTAGATGTCGCGGAGATATTAGTGAAGGATGATTAGAAATCGGACAAACACATTAAATTACAACAAAGTCCTAACAGACAATTTGAAGTACTTAAAAAGATTTAAATGGATGATAATTCATATTGGTCGAAACGTAAATACAAGTATCACGAAGCGTATTGCAAAACACTCCAAACACTACACGTTTTACTAAATGGAATATGCCTAGACCAGGACCTAAATCTGATAATTCTCGGGATTATTGTTACAGAAACTGAAAATTATGTCATTTCCAAACTTGAATGAATTAAGCGATGTTCTGTTTTTATTTCTAGTCTCTATCGATAAATGCAGACAACATCGATACATTTGTTGAACTGTTTTTGTGCCACGCAATTTGATGTTTGACTACGATATTTATAATAAATTTGAATTTGTCCTCCACTCCCTAAGATTTTATTCAGAATTGGTTTTTTTTTCTTTAAATGGTGAGTGTGTGGTAATTGAGGTTCGCAGCATAGCAAACACAAAACGTTATTAGCTGGGCTTTCACTGCGCGTCGTACGACGGAAGCCAACTCCGCTCCTTAGGAGCGCTGGACGACGCGACGCCGTCTGTTGATTGCCGGTGGTGGCAGTCATTAAGAACGATCCGTTACGCGCGCGCCGTGGAGTTGCGTTCTCTATAGAATCGCTTCGGCCGACGATCGTGGAGCGCAGTAAGTGCCCTGCTTAACATTCGCAAACGTTGTGGAAGTTCAAAAAATAAAGTTAATAGTTTTTATAAAATAACTTCGACTGGGAGTTGGCAAGAGCCGGTAGGTCAGTCCACTGGCCGATAGTAAGCCTACTTAGAGAAATAGCATATTAATAAGCATTATCTTTTGGATATCATTTAGCCTAATATTTATTTCTGCCTGTCGTGGCAATTAAAACCAAAAAGTTGATTTTAATACACATCAATAACAACAATATATAATTAATAAAATACCGGTAAATGAAATGAAAATCATCAATTCCTTCATAGATGATATATAATATCCTTTCTATTTTCATGATTCTAGGTCTGTATAATTCGAATTTATAATAAGTTAAAAGAAGTAGGTCTATAGAGATAGTTATTAAAACGCAACATTAATGGGAGCTAGGTACAGATTAACATGAAAACAAGGCGTTTTCCACTCACCATTGAAAAAAGTGCTGCTAAAATTGATCCCCGACGAACCCCACACCAACAACATTTTCTAAACAATGCCATGACGCTCCTTGGGCATAGCCTACTCCTCCAGGGATAAGCACTCCGCCGCCTCTTACTTAGGCCTACCGTCCGCCTTTTCAAAAACAACTGATATTTAACTCAGTGCCGTACGATTATTATTAGATGCATAGGACATATTCCATATTTACAACACAAAATTCTGCATAGTGTTTTGTGAAGTTGCCGTGGTTGTAGATCCAACCGACTTTTGGTGAATCGAGGAGAAAGTTGATGCTACGTGTCCAGGCTCATACAAGGTCGATTGCCGGGAAAAAAATATTTAGCATCCAACCAAAAATATTGAATTATTATATATATTGTGATTATGCAAATCTGGCCAGTTGCTTTGAGCTAAAGTGAGAAAATCGTTAGCGAACTGTCAATCCAGTTTGGAACTGACAACCAACCAACCAGAGGGGCGACGTGCGTTCGATCGACCGTGTCTCTGCCAATGTGTGTAGCTTTGTTCTTCCAGCGATCCTACCCAAACACTGGCAACCAATTGAAACCGACTGGAAGTGCCACTGAGATCGATCGGGCATCCATATATCTCACCTTGAAGGCCTATACTATGGAGGAATAATTTTTCCATGGTTATTTCCTAAAGTTATAAACGGGCGGAGAGGGGATGGGGCGGGGTGGGGAACTTTATAACAATTTATGTCTGTGTTATGAGCTAATTAACATTAATAAATACAATATAGGCCTAGTAGGCCTATTTCATTTCATTACTTTTTACATTTAAGTAATACGGTAGCCTACACTGTACATACACATTATTATTATTTCATTATTATTATTTATTATTATTATTATTATTATTATTATTATTATTATTATTATTATTATTATTTATTATTAGGCCTATTATTATTATTATTATTATTATTATTATTATTATTATTATTATTATTGTTTTGTTATTATTATTATTGTTA